GTCTTGTTATGTTGCCCAGGCCAGTCTCAAACTGCTTGCCTCAAGAGATCTTCCTGCTTTGGCCTCCCAAAGTGCTGCGATTACAGATGTGAGCCACTGTGTCAAGCAAATAGATCAGTTGACCAATCTATTTGCTGGCTCTCACCATCTGGAAGAATATTCAGGCTATCTAAGCAGCTGCTCCTTTTGTGTGTGTAATCAGCACTCCCCTTTCCCCCAGTGGGTACATTCTGTGGTCTCAGCTTTCCTGATGGAGAGAAACTCTGATTGACTTGGGCTATTCTGAAGGGGTCTCTCTCAGTAATCAAAAGTGCTATGAAAAACGACCATGAAGGAGCTCAGAGCAGCTGACTCCTGAGAATCCTCTCGGTGCTACTGTGATGTCCTGGTTGAGCTGAAGCAAGTGTTATCGTGCCAGCTCCTGCCTCACACCTGTTCCTGACATTCTATGCTTACTCCTTTCAAGCCTATCCTCCTTCATCTGCTGTCTAGATAGCTGTAACATCTCCCTAAATGGCCTCTGTCATCCATCCAGTCTCTTTGCCCAAACTGCTTGTGGTCGTAGACTTTCCATTTGAATTCTAGCATCCTCCTAAGCAACCTTGACTGATTCTTCACTGTCTTCCACATTATGTCCAAACTCCTTTACTTGGCTTTCAAAGCTCTGAGTGAGAAGGAGCCACTGGCCTTCTGGCTTCATCTCCTCATCCCCTAGGTGAATTGTGTGGCCCACTGAATTGAACTTATCTGTCATTTCCCGAAAATCATTTGGACTTTCCCGTGGCATAGTTGTCACCCATTTGTCCCTTTCCTTTGATGCCCTTTTTACACCACCAAATCCCCCTCCCCACCCCATAGCTAATTCCTATCCATAATTCAACATGCAGCTCAAAGGCTACTTTGGAAAGATTCCTCCAGCTAGAGACGATTTCTCCTTCCCCCAGAGGTAAATCCTAGTATACCTTCTCACCCCTACATGAGGAGCTATCTGAAGAGAGCTTGGCCTTATCTAGCTCTGTGGTTTCACAGTCCCTAGACCAGGGTCTTAAATGTTATTATGGGGCCAAGTGGCAGCTGCTGCTCAAGGGCACAGAGACTTTTTTTTTGATATCCATTTGGGGTCTTGAAGGTCCATTAGTAATTCAGGTTTTTATTGCTATTAATTGGCCTAGATATAGAAGTAAAGAAAAATAAAAGATAATCTATTTCTTGGATGCTTATCTGTTGCCTGAATCTGCCATAGGAGTCTATAAACAAAATGACTATTTCTTTTAGTTTTTACTCATCTATTATCCTAATCCCATTGACTGTTTTGCAGTAACTCACAAATAAAGATGGATAAATGACTCTAGTCATTAGCCTAGAGGGGGATGCTCAGAGAGGATCAAAGGGGCTTTCTGGGTCATAGCACATGTAAGAGACCTGGTAGCATCCGAGGAGGCCAAGGAGATATGTGCCTTTTGTGTGGCGGCTGACAAGCAAGGTCAGGCAAGACCATAGCCAAATGACAGGACCATGTTTGTAAATGATCCTTACCTGGTTTTCCACTTTTGTAGACAAGACAAACCTTCCCATTCCCACTGCACGAATCCAGCTCAAATATCACACTGCGAGAGTCGAAGTGAGGCTTCTCTGGCTGGTCCTCACTGGCTGCAAACCCAGAAGTTAATGGGAATGTTTAAACAACTCAACTCAAACCCATAATTATACATCCAACTTTGCTAGGATGAAAAAATGGGAAAAAAGCCTTATCTCAGACATATATTTAAATATTATTTTCAAATAAATTCTGTATGTGAATTAATGTCCTGGATCTCATCCATGACCTTCTGCCTGGGCTTCGTCATCATCAACAGGCAGTGTTAGGGAATCTGGGGAAAGGAGGCATGAGGAAAGCAAACTGAACTTGGGAGCAGGACCACATAAAGGCAGAGCAATCTCGATGGCTTGGTGCTGATGAAATGTTTCCTTTTCCCAGGATTGTTTATTGTATAAAAATGGGATATCAAACACATGATCTGAATCTTGCTTTCTATGCAATACCATGTGGAAAGCCCTCTAAGTCATGTGGTGTAACTCTAATTCATCCTTTTTAATGACTACTTGATAGTCTGTGGGAGTGGATGTTCCCTAATTTATTCTGCTATCCCCGTTGAAAGGCATTCACCTATCATTATTCTGCTGTGAATGACACAATAATCATCTCTGTACGTGTCCTTATGTTCTGGTGCTTTTGTTATATGGGACAGATTCTCTGCAGTAGAATGGATGCTGCCAGACTGCTTTTCAAAAAGGCCTTTTTTAAAAAAAGATATTTTCACTGGATATAAACTTCTGGGTTGATAACTTTTTTGAGTATTTTATATTGCTGGAATTGTTTCCAAGGAGAAATATGCTGCTGTCCTTATCTCTGTTCCTTTATACGTAAGTTCTTTTCTCTTTGGCTGCTTGTAAGATTTTCTCTTTATCCCTGAATTTGAGCAATTTGATTACGGTTTCTTGGTATATTTGTGTTTCTTGCTCCTGGCTTACTAAGCTTATTGGATATGTGGGTTTATAGTTTCCATCAAATTGGTAAACTTTTGAGCCATTAAATTCTTCAAATATTTTCTGGCCCCTGACCCCTTTTTCTTTTCAGGGACTCCAATTACATATATATTATTATACCGTTTGTTGTCCCTCAGCTCACTGATGCTCTTTTCATTAAAAATATGCATTTTTTTCCTTTCTGTGTCATTTTAGATAGTTTCTATTGTTATGCTTTTAAGTTCTCAAATCTTTTCTTCTGCAATGTCTAAGCCACTGTTGCTCTTACCCAGTTTACTTTTCATCTTAGAAACTCATTTTCATCTCAACGTTAAATTTGGGATATATATTATATAGATAGACATAAATATGTCTTCCATGTCTATACTTATTTTTTGATATATGTAATAAAGTTATAACTTTAATGTCCATACATGCTAATTCTTTTTTTTTAACCAATAAAGCAAAGGTAAACATATATGCTAATTCTATTAACAAAATGTGTGTCACTGCTGGATTGGTTTCAATTAATAAGAAGAAAAAGGGATTATGGTCATATTTTTCTACTTCTTTGCATGCCTGGTAATCTTTGATTGGGGGCCAGAAATTGTTAATTTTCCATTGCTGAGTGCTCGATGTTTTCGTATTTCTGTAAATATTCTTGAGCTCTGTTCTTTAACACAGTTAAGTTACTTGGAAACAGATACTTTGGGCCTTGCTCTTAAGATTTGTCAGGCACGACCTAGAGCTAATTATTCTCCATCACTGAGACAAGACCTTTTTGAGTACTATATCTAATGCTGTGTAAATTATAAGGTATTTCAGCCTGTCTGGTAGAAACAGGCACTATTCCTGGTCTTGTGTGAGTACTGGGCATTATTCCCTGTAATCATCTTGCGTGGTTTTGTCCCCTGGCTTTCAGCAGTTTCTTCACATGCATGTGCTTATCAGTTACGTGCTAAATACTTGAGGGGGACCCTCTACAGATCTCTGGAGTTTTCTCTTTATGCATCATTCTCCTATCTATCTCAGTTCTGTGAACTCTAGCTGCCTTGATCTATCCGGACTCTCAGCTCTGTCTTCTCAACTCAGGGAGTGCAATGGATCCTACCCTGGGTCCCCCATTCTACACTGTGGACTGGAAACTCTCTCAAGGTAGTATGCTAGGGAAATTGTAGGGTTCACCTTGTTTGTTTCCCATTGCTCAGGGCTCATTGTCCTCTGTTGGTTGATGGCCAGTGTCTTGAAAACCATTGTTTGGGTTTTTGTTGTTGTTGCTGTTGTTATTGTTCCAGGTGTGAGGAAATCTGGTCTCTTGTTATCTATGTTGGATGAAATCAGAAGTCTAGATTATAGGTTCCCACCAAGGTTTAACAGCCCTGTCTTGTGCTGACTGGGGTCTGTCCTAGGTGAAAAGTCGTAGAAATAGAAAAGTCACTTGGTGTGGTTCCTTCTGCCAATTGTAGATACCACTCTAGTTTCTGCCTGTTTTTGGTTACTCTCCAGTCCTTCCAGGCAATGGTTTCTAAACTTTTTCCAGAGTGTAGAGTATTATCTGCAGAAGCTTTGATCTGGTAAAAGGTACTCTGTCATGTCATTACTGTAAGCACGTCAATGTTTGAATTTTCTTTGTTTCAAATGTGCAATGCCACTGTTTTCAGTTCCTCCCTGAATTTTAGTTTGGTTTTATCTCCATGTATGCATTAGCATATTGTTTTATAGCCGGTATCTAATACCGTCGCTCCTGGGAGTACTAGAGGATCTGTTTTTCTTTTTTTTAATTAAAAAAAATGTAAAGTTTTATTTTTAACTGACAAGTAATAATTGTATACATTTATGGGGTACAATGTGATGTTTCAATATATGTATACATTGTGGCTGATCAAATCAAGCTACTCAGCATATCCATCACTTTAAATATTTATCATTTGTGGAGAACATTTAAAATCTTCTCTTTTAGTTATTTTGAAATATATGATACATTAGTATTAACTACAGTCACCATGCTGTACAACAGATCACCAGAACTTATTCCTTCTAACTGAAATTTCATACCTGTTGACCAATGTCTCACCTTTCCCCATTGATCCTCTAGTAACCACCAGTGATCTCTTTTTGTTACCTGTTATTTGTGCTGGTTCTTGTTCATGGGTTGTATTTCCTCATATGCCTGGTTATTTTTTAGTAGAAATTACTTTTTGAAAAATTACTTATAAAACCAATTTGAGGTTTAGCATGTTTTCTCCTTATATGGTGAACTTTTCTTTTTATATAAAAGCTTTTTTGAGATGTAATTCACCTACCATACCATTCACTCATTTAAAGTATACAGTTCTACAGTGGTGTGTGTGTGTCTGTTTTTAAAACAGGGTCCCGCTTTGTCACCCAGACTAGAGTGCAGTGGCATGATCATAGTTCACTGCAACCTCCAACTCCCAGGTTCAAGCAATCCTCTTGCCTCAGCCTCCTGAGAAGCTAGGACTACAGGTGCATGTCACCACACTCAGCTAATTTTTTTATTTCTTGTAGAGATGGGTCTCACTACATTGCCCAGACCGGTCTCAAATTCCTGAGCTCAAGCAATCCTCCCATCTCAGCTTCCCAAAGTGCTGGGATTACAGGCATGAGCCACTGTGGCTGGTGTTTAGTAGATTTACTGAGTTGTCACTACCACAATCTATTTTAGAACATTTCTTTAGAGTGAATTTTCATTTTTGCCAGGCCCATGAGAAGATTAGTAATCTGGGATCAATTTAGTCTGATTTTGGGATTTAACATTTTCTAGGACACACTGAGCTTCAGTCCACATGAAGAATGGTTACTTCTGTTTCATCCTGTCTCCCAGGGTACAGCTCTTCACAGTGCCAACACAAAGGGAAGGGTGATTTTCATGGTGCCATCTTTTGTAGGCCGTGGACTCTATTTTATTCCCCGGGCTCACAATGGATCAAATTCTCAGTTTTGCTGCAGTGTAATTGCCTCTTTTCAAAAGAACAATATATCCTAGGCCAAAGCAACTTTACATGTTGAGCCTCTTCCCTGGATTTCTGTCTTCTCCTGAATGTTAGTCTGGTATTACATCTCATTGGCTCATTAGCTCTTTGATGCTTTTAAGGAAGAGGATTTGAAAATTTTATCCTGCTTTTGGTTGTCTTCAGCAGGAAGGCTGCTCTGAATTAACTATCTCCCATTACCATAAGAGGAAGTCTCTTCATCAGTTTAAGTGTGCTTCTGGATAACGATATATAGATAAGTTTTGCTTTTTATATCAATCCTATAGTCTCTGTCTTTCAAAAGAAGATTTGATCTCTCACATTTAGTCTAGTGATTGATCTCTTTTATTTTATTCCTCTCATCTTAAAGTTATATTTCTTAATTATTTTATAATGTTATTTCTTCTTTTTCCTCATGTCATTTGACATTGCCCTTATTAGACTGGATATTTTAATGTAATTTTTTATTCTTTTGGTGGTTATCTTCTTTTCTTTGTTGTTTTTGCTTGCATGATAAAATCTATATGACTGTATACTTATTTAAAAACAATATAACATTATTTCCCTATGCAGGTATGGTATACAGAATTCTAAGGTGGCCCCCAACATTCCTGTCCATGGTGTACACACCTTATATAATCCCCTCCTTCTCTTGAGTGTGGTCAGAACCTGTGAATATGATGGGCAGTCATTCAACGAGACTGTCGTAGCACTCTGGAGAGAAATTTTCCTGTTGGCTTAGAAGTAAGCTGCCATGTTGTGAGAGGGTCAAGTGGCTAGAATCTGAGGACAGCTTAAAGGTGCTGTGACCCCTGGCCAAAAGCCAGGAATAAAACAGGGACATTAGTCCCACAACTGTAAGAAACTGAAAATGGCCAACCACAGTGAGCTTGGAAGCAGTTCCTGTGCCTCAGATGAAATCAAAGTCCCAGGTCACACCTTGATTTCGCCTGGTATGACCCTAAGCAATAGACCCAGCTAATCTGTAGCCGAATTCTTGACTCACAGAAACTGTTAATATATAGCTAAAACTGATAATATATTTGTGGAGTTTTAAGCCATTAAATTTGTGGTACTCTGAGGTATACAGAATAGAAAATTGATACACCAAGATACTCTATCGTACCCACTAAAGTGTAGTATTTCTTCCGTACAGTAAGATGAGGCTTTTCACTTTCTACTTCTTTTTCCCTCTATTCTCCACTATAAGGACTTCTGGAACAGTCTTTGTATTAATTTGCTAGGTCTGCTGCAACAAAGCACCACAAACCAAGTAGTTTAAACAACAGAAATTTATTGTCTCACAATTCTGGAGGCTCAGAGTCTGAAATCAAGGTATTCACAAAGGTGATTCCTTCTGAGAGCTGTGGAAAAGAATCTGTTCCATACCGCTCCTCTAGCTTCTGGTGGGTTGCTGGTAATTTCTGGTATACTTTAGCTTATAGAAGCATCGCCTCAACCTCTACTTTCATCTTCAAATGGTATTCTCCCTGTGTGTGCCTGGGTCCAAATTTCTTCTTTTTAGAAGGACACCAGTCACATTGGGTTAGGAGCTCACCCTACTCCAGTATGACCCCATCTGAACTACTTAAATCTGCAATGACTATTTCCAAATAAGGTCACATTGTATGGTTCTGGAGGTAAGGACTTCAACATAACTTTCTTCGAGGGGAATACAATTTAACCTATAACCCTCTTATGTATGGCCTCTTTCTTCACCTTTTAGGTTTAACTGACAGCGGCATAACACTTTTTAGAATATTCTTTGCAATATGTTCCAAGAGTTTCTATGTAAAAGTTATACAACGCATTCCTAGGTAGTAAGATTTACTTTTAAACACATGCATACACACCTATTCTCTCTCATAGGAGGTCCACTAATCCCTTATTTCCTTTTGTCTTCATGTATCCACATCTTGAGATCTTCATTTGGTTCCATTTGTTTTTTGGTTAGAATATTTATGGTCTTTAATATCCTCCTTATACCTTGAGAGGTATATTTGGTCTGCATATATAGGAACCTTGATTTTCACTCCTTTTCTCTTAGTAACTGTATATGCTTTCTCACTATTTTCTAATTTCCATCGTCAGTCGGATTATTATTCCTTCATAAGTAATTTGTGCCAAGAAGCTCATAATTTTTTCCATATCAAGATATGCACAGGTGTCTGTATTTTCTCATCTGTTCAATTTGGGTCTAGGTGAGGCCTTTCAAGCTGCAGAAACTTGTATTTGTATTTATTGCCTTTCTATCTATTTTTTGTCTCTTTTTTAAGCAACCGTAATTCCAGTGGAAGGTGTCATGAATCGATTTTCAATTTTTCTTACCCTCTTACCTTTTTCCTCATAATTTTCCTCTTTTAAATTGATATATTTGTGCTTTTTTTATACTTGATTTTTCAGGCCAACTCAGGTCTCAATAATGTTTATACTCTCCTTCAATATGTTTAGTTAATTGTTTGAGAATCTTTTACTTTCTTTTATTGACAGGAAGTCTTTGTGCGGTCTTAAGTCTCCTTAAGTGTTCTTATTTAGGTTTTCATCTGTGTCCTCTAGCATATGTTGCCCAGGCTGGAGTGCAGTCGCTATTCACAGGCATGATCATAGCGCACTGCAACCTCAGCCTCCTGAGTAGCTGGAACTACAGGAGTGCACCACCATGCCTGGCTGGTTGTGTATTCTGATATTTCTTCCCGATCATCTTCCCCTCTGACTGCTGAGTCCCCTGAGAAAAGTCAATATTTTTCTGTTAAAGTTTAATTAAACTTAGGTATAGTTGTTTGACTTTCCTAAAAAGCATGAACTCAGCAGGTGCCAGAAGGCCAAGTGGTTTTTATCTCTGTGAGTACATAAGGCAATGTAGTCCCTACCCTGGCTCAGTCCTTTTGCTGAGGACCCTTGAAGCCTCTGTATTATCTAATCTAACTCTACTCATCCAGCCCCAAGAACAGGGAAGACTCAGCCTACCTATTTAACTGCTTCTTTGCCTTTTAGAGAAGCCCTAGCACCCCATATGAAGCCAATGTGACCTTTTTCCAATTTGTAGGGATTCCACAGATCTTTGAACCATAGGCTCTTCTCAGGACCTATCACTCTCCAGTCTTTTCCCCTGTACTCCTCTCATCCCATTCTCCAGCTGCTTGTTCAACTGAGGGAGAAAGCCTTGTATCACTTTTCTCTGCCAGGACCTCAATGAACCCCAAGGTCTTAGTATTGAAGACACTAGTTGCCTACTCACTATTTACTGTCCATTTCTTTCTTAATTAAAACCAATTCTGACTGAGGAGGCCATACTGCACAACTGAAATTACTGACTCCCTTGTAACTATGGGTAGCCAGTTAGCTATTGGGAGGGGTTTCTGAGAAAACTATCGTTTTCCTGATAAAAAGTGAGTGATTCTGCCAAAAGCCAGTTTTTTTGCCCTTTGCCTTTTACTCTTCTTCTTCCTGACAGGAACAGAGACTTGAAGCCTGGAAGTAGAGTCTACATTCCTCAACCATAAGGATGAAAACCATATCCAAAAGCTGAGCCAGAGGGAGACTTTATCACTAAATTTCTTAAGCAGCTACACCAGCCTAGTTCCAGATTTCTTCTTATGAGAAAAATAAAACACTATTTAGCTTAAATATTATAATTGCATCTCTGTTATATGTAGCCAAACACAATTCTGACTGAAGAATTCCTCACTTACACCCAGTTGCTCATGAATTTTAGCAACTATTTGCTTATAAGCCATTTCACTCAGAAGTGACAAAGAGCTTGGAGGCAGGAAAGGAGCTGTGTTTAGACTGCCACGTCCCCCGACATGTTAAGTAAAGTTAACATTCATTCTATGACATACATTCTATAACATTCATTCATTCATCAAATATTCATTAAATGCCTACTATGTGCCAAGCACTGAGCTGGGTGCTAGAAACAAAACAAAGATACCAACCCTGGCATTTTCTTCGTACCTTCATGTGTATCGTCCTCCAGGTCTGCCAGAGTTGGTGCATTAGGAAGTGAATACATGGAAGACTGGTTGAGTTGAGTCAGTTTTGAGATGCTGTTAATTGCCATGTTGCCCAGTGGAATGGTGTGCTCTGTAGAAACATAATAAGGAGAATTACATGGAGTAACAGCCTGGTTACAATCGTTATCACAAAGGCATCTGCTTTAATAACCTAAGCCCAGGTATTGTTTGCCCCTGTGGCTGAAGAATCTGATGGAAGGAAGATCATTCACTGTAAACCCCAAAACACCAACCTTACATGTAAAAAAAGAAAATGGGGGCCACAGGTGATGAAGAGCCCCCACTGCATGCATTAGGGTGGAGCTGAATAAAATTTTAAAAGGGAATACTCAAAAAGAACTGGGAAATATGGGCTTAGGGTCCCCGTTTAAGGAGTAAAGGACTTAAAAATGTTTTTGCTCCCTCCTTCCCTTACTGAGCCAGTATTCTGCATAAAGAGTTATACTTTCCAAAGGAGTAATAGCTTTGATTATATAATATCTCCCTGCCATTTTCCCTTACTCAATGAAGAGAACTTGGCATTCTTCTTGCTTGGTTCTAATCTTCTGTAATTAGGGTGTAATAAGGAACAGGAAGACTGCATGTTTTCCTTACCTGACTGCTGAAAAAACTGGAATGGCTGAAGACGATAAAACAGCTGGAATATATATAATGGAATGTCCAAGAAAAGACCACTAAAGAGGAAAACATCAGAAGCTGCCTCTGCTGCCTTTTCTGTTACTGACTTAAGCTTTGCAGTAAAGAATAGGTAAAAATCTGGGATAGGGAAGATTAAATTAGAGAAGGTACTGCAATAATGAACAGGGACTCGTTCATAAAATACTCATGAAACAGTTCTCTGAGGCAGGCTTGTGAAGGGGCCAGTCTGTCTCATGATGCGGGCGAGGGAAAGTCTGCTTGTCAGTCTAGTCTATGTCCCCTCTCTGTTGCTGCAGACTCAAAAGGCCACAGCCATGCTATAAGGGAGGGTTCTGATGCTGGTGACAAAGATGGTTTCTAGGACACAGGAGGAAATGATTCTAAACTAAAAGCTAATGTTAAATGTTCACTAGTAAGCTATAAAAAGTACCTCCAGTCAGCTGGGTGAGATAGACAAGAAGGCTTTGGAAATCACCAAAAAAGGGAACTTGGGTATATAGGCAGAAGGCAGAGGCAATGAAAGGGAGAAATCAGCTCTGTAGATGTGCTATGCAACAAAAGTCACTACATTCTTAGAAACAGCAGTGGGGAATTGTGGGGTGCTTTCCAAGGCCTAGGTACACCTGGGGATGTGACTGGAGTCAGAGGCAATAAAGGCCTATGGTGGGGCTGGGAAGTCTGTGCCAGGAATGGGCTGGACTCCGGTGGTTAAATCAGGGTTTCCTAGCTTATGAAATTTTATAGCAGTCTTCACCTAAATGTGCAGTGCTGCCTTTTATGTCCACATAGTATCTGGAATCTCTGTTAAGAACAAAGTTGTAAGTCCCCACATTGGCACATTTAAGGCTAAAGATGGCCTGTCAACTGAGGTAGCTTGTGACGTAGGATGAGGTGGTAAGAGAGAGAGAAGCAAAGGGTTGGAGCCCTAAGGTCTTCGTGATGGTGGGAATAAAGGAAGGAACCTGAAAGAGATAACCAGTCCCTCCCATGAACACTGGAGACTGTCACTGCTGCTTACTCTGAGGGCTTTGCTCCGAGGTGGAGGCTTCTGAGGCTTTTAGTTTGAGATGGCTTAGGTTTTTTGTGTAATGGTTATTGTTTTCCTCTACCCCACTTAAACAGGAATTCTCTAAATTGAGCTTCCAGTTCTGGACTGGCTAGACTCTGGCATGGGTGGTGGTGGATGAAGCAATGATGGTATCTGTTAGCACTGGGAGATAATCACAGCTTCTGGACATGGCACTTGAGAGCACCCATGAAAACCATCCAGATTCAAAGACTCAAAAGTTGTAAGGGCCTTCAGACTTGTCCCACCCAACCTCTCAGCCAGGGAAATAGCCAACTCACCATCCAGCTTCACACTCCATGTCATGTGGAAGCCATTGGTCATCAGGTAAAAGTTCTTCAGATCCTCAGGCATCATACAGTTATTCTTCTAGAATCACAAAGCAGCTGATGTTAGGTCAGGGCTGGGAAAGAGGGAACAGGGATATGCCTCAAGGCACTGGAGACACAATTTACCATGTCTCAGATCCCTGAGTCAGGAAGACTCTGGTATTACTTACAAAACTCTATTAGAGAGGCACTGGTTTCTGCAAACAGAGTCACCAGTCTGACCTTAGTTTTTGCTTCACCTTATAAAGCAGACTAGGTGTCTGCCCTGCCATGATAATGTCCTCAGTGCATTATCTGAAGAAGAGACAGAAGAACATGGTGAGAGAGGAGGTTCTAGGTAAAGTGTGACAATGTTAGAACAAAGCAATCATTGCCATAAATTTCAGATCCATGCTCATAAATTATTTTCTGAAACAAATTGACAAATGAGAACATCTTAAAAATGAATAGTATATATTTCCAGAGCATTTAATGCAATGAACCTGTTCTAATAGTTCTGACAATTCTTAGAAAGTAAAAAAGTACAAAGGTTACATTCAACTATTTCATATGGATAACAAATTATCCAAACTGGTAGGGGAGAGAACCAAGGGATAGCTTAGTAACCTTTCAGAAGATACAATGAGCAAGCCCTAACTTCTAAATAACTCACATCTGTGCACAGGCCTGACCAGTCTTCTGTAGCCAACTCAAATCCCTGGAGGGTGCAGAAGGATGAGTTCTCTAATTCCTTTCCTGGGCCCCCTAGAGTGACTTTGTGATATGGTTATAGAGGCAAAGAGGCAGCATGTTAGTAACTCTGTCCATACTTTTGGCTTACTGGACCCTTCTGAGATGTGATGCTGACCACTGCTTACATCAAGTTTATTTTAGGTTATACTATCCAGTCAGTTCTAGGTACCCAATGTGTGAAGAAATGCAATATAGCAGGATGATCCGAGTTCACTTCCCAACTCTGCCACTAACTGAGTAGGCTTGAGCGTGTCACTTAAACTCTGTGAATCTAAGTTCAACAATAAACACTAAGACTGCATCTATAAAACACTGGACGTAGGAGGGGGTATGAGCTTGACTGGAAGAGAGAAGACTAGGAAATTATTATCACAGTATCTTCAAGAACTATAGGTGAGGAGAAAGCTTCAAGCTTGTGGGTAATTTTAAACAGTGTTTTTAGATTACTAAATGGACAATAGCTGTCATTTTTGGATTCTTGGATTCCTTGGGCTAATTTATTTTCTTAGTAAGTTATCTGGAGTTAAGAGCTTGCTCCTAGTGCTTTCTGTATGGCTACATTCTCTGTGCTTTCAGAGAGAAAAAGTGTGCATGCAGAATTCATTTCTCCTACCCCTGGAATCTTCACACAGGAAGTCTACAGTTATCAATGTTCTGACAAGGTTCTTCTGTTGCCCCGAAAGGCCAGCATCCACTTTGAGACTTTGATCACTACTGCCATCTCGTGGTGGAGATAAGGAAACTGTCTACCAGCCTTAACAGGGATTCCATGAGATTCCAGCTGAGAATGGCTGGTAGACTATTTGGCAACGTTCTTCTTTAAGTTAGGCTGAAGAATTCTAATAGCAATTATAACACATTTGTTACGGTATTTATTTTAACCAAGAAGGAAATTTTGGTATTATTTTATACCAGTATTTAAAAATTATTCAAAATTCATAAAAATAGAAAAAAGTGAACTCAAATATTTAATACACATTTCCAATACTAATATAAACATAAAAATTATCTAGTAAATCAAATTCATGAAAAACATTAAGTGCTCATTGTCATTCTAAAATAAATGACTGGCAGCCCTAGGCTCTGTTGCTTCTTTGCTGTAGATCTTTCTGCCCCAGGCACCCCTGGAGCAGGTCTGCTGTGCTTTAGTCCCTTCCTACCATGTTTAGCTCTTCTGAGTGGGGCTTGCAGGGTACCCAAAAGTGGTAACCTGAAAGCCCCTCTGCCCTGGCCAGCAACTCAGAGTTATAAGAACGGTGCTTTAGAACCCAAGGGAGGAGAGAGCTAGCAGAGTGGTTAACCTGAGAAATGCAGGAGAGATGTCAAGTGAGATGAAGTAAGGCTTTTGCAATGCAGAGATCCTTGGTGATTTTGATGGAATGGTGGTACAGAAAGAGAGGCTGTGGTAGGATGAAGAGTAACTGGGAAGGTAGGGAAGGGACAGTAATTTAGACTAGGGGTCAGTAAATTATGGCCACGGGGTATCTCCACCCTGTCACCTGTTTTTGTATTAATAAAAAAGTTTTATTTGAACATAGTCATAAAGAAATCAGTAGTTGTCACAGAGACAGCAGAGCCAACAGAGTCTAAACTATTTACTATCTGGTCCTTTGAAGAAAACGTTTCCTGATCACTGATTTAGGTAGTTTTTCTACATGCTTGATGTCCAAAGGAACAAATGAAATGGGTAAGTAGCTAGAGGGAGACACAATTTGAAGGTATTTAAATTTTTTTGATTTATTTATTTTTAAAATTTTTGTGTGGCACCTAAACCTGAATTATTTTTTTATTTTAATGAGATGGAAAGACCCTGTGGGGAAGCTGCCAGCATAGAGGGAGGAAGTGCAGCCCTAGAGAGGGACTAACCAGTGGAGGAGAACACTGAGGAGCTACCAGGCAGAGTATGAGCACGAGGTGAGACAGCCACTAGTGACATGGTGTCACAGGCTGACTTCCCCTACTTAACAATAAATTCATAGCAGGGGACTGTAAGGAACAGATCTGCAAGAAGGTTCAGAATCCACTCAATAGAATGTAAAAAAGTGAGACTGAAAAGAAAGGGGAAATTCTGCCAAATCATTTGGTCTCTGTGGGCCACAGTTTCACCATCAGGAAACTGAATTTTTAGCTGGGAATTGGAGAGCCTAACCAATCAAGAATTGTAGAGCACTCCGCAACTATGAAATGTCACTGAAATGCTTAATAATAACAGAACTCTCCTGGCACCAGCATGCTTTGAGAATTAAGAGGCAGATGTTTTCATGGCCTGAAAGATGAAAAGCTCAGTGTAGACACTAGGTCTTACTATGTACCATCATTACAAAAAGCAGGCAACAGGCCCAGGAACATGAATCATATAACTGCACAAAACCGACCAGACTGAAGCTGTTCTTTGATGAACAAAATAGGGTGAAATATATTAAAATGGGAAGAGTTTGTTTACTTTTTCTTCTAACCTTAGGGGGCTGCAGCAAGTATATGGTCATTCAGGTTTTAGCTGTCAACCTTTCTTCCTGGATTTGTACCACAGAATTACAAAATATTAGATTACAGCTGGATGAGTCCTTCAATAACACTGATTTCAAACCACTTATTTTACAGATGATGAATGTAGTCTCAGAGAAGTTACATTACCTAGCCAAGGGTCCAGAGCTGACAAAAGACTTCTAACTCCAGAATATTTTCCCCACATCATAATGCCTCCATAGCCTTACCACTATATCGTATTTCAGTGAGCTTCCCGGACAAGGTACAAGACCCAAGGAAGAATATGCCTCAGAAATTACTTCATTAAATAAGTGATATGACATGTCACAGCTTTAACGGTGTTCCATTTGCCCAAAGGGGCAGAAGTAGTAGGCTTTTTCTTGGAGGGCCTCATCAGCTATATTTATGCAGCTGTGGACACCAGGTGAACCACATCGAGGCTGTGCCCTAGATGAGGTGTCTCCAAGGACACACGTTTCTAGGGTCAGTCCTCTAGAGAAGTATGCCTTATCAGCCCCCTGGGATCTTCCTGTCTGGAATGGGCACTTCTGGAAATGTTAGAGTAGGTAGTCAGTTAGGTATGAGCAAGGGGAGGAGGGAACGGAAAAGTTAGTCAACTGGCTCAAACAAATAGCCCTTAAACAAACAGACCTGAGGAGAAGGAAGAGCCATTAATTTCCCAGTGTTGCAAAAGTACAAAGCGACCTTTCCCCATTATATATGAGTAAGAACAGAATGAACACTGAGCACCCAGCCTCCTTTGACTTCAACAAATTAAAACAGCAACTGCTTGGGGTTTGGGGCAGTTGCTCCTCTCGAGCCTGCCCACACTCTTTCTTGAGAGCATACTTTTGCTTCTGCACAAGCCTTTCCTAAGCCTGTCCACTGTCACTCAATAAACTTGCCACTATGGCTCGGTTGTGTGTGTGTCATGAAATTCCTTTCTGCATTGTTAGCAAGAACCTTTACATCACTGACAGAAGCAAGCACAAGTCAGGGGTGGCCCTACCAAGACTGCTCTCCTTCAGTAACCCACTGGGTGAGAAAGTGGGACAGGGACTTTCAGACCAGCTCAAAACTTCTGCCCTCCATTGCCTCTTTTTCTCTTAGACAAAAATAGGTAACAAAATAGCACATAGACTATTGCTCCATTTGGACTAAAAAAATTATACAAAAACCTGTTCTTAAGTTTTTTGGGGCTATGAACCCCTTTGAGAATCTGAAGAAATCTCTCCCCAGGAAAAATGTACATACTTAATACAGCTGACATACATTTCAAGGAGCCCATGGAACACTTCCCATTCAGACTTATAGCAGATCCCTAGACCTATCCATTGCCTTCCCTCCACCTACACACAACCACCAAAAATATACAAAAATAGTTATGTCTAGGTGGTAAAACCCTAGAGGACTTTGCTTTATCTTCTGCATTTTCAAAAAATTTTTATGGTGACCATGTTCTTTTCTGTTTAGCATAATCAGAAAAAAACACTGTTATATAAAAACTGAATCTTAAAACCAAAGTACACATCCAAAACTCTTTCTTAGCTTCCAAGCATCCCATAGACCTTCAAAAAGCCCAGACAAACCAAGCTGGGATGAAACAAACATTTTTACATTACTGATCCTAATACTGTTTATATTTTACATTTGGCATATTTGTGCTTAGATCTGAGATATTTTAACTAAACGACTCAAAGGAAAATTCCAAATCAATGTATCTAAGTACAGATACTCCCCCAACTGAGTATGTCTGAAGAAAATGTTCCATTAACTGTCTCAGTTAGTTAAAAATCTCTTTTTCTCATGCTTACCCCTTAATCCTTTCAGACCTCTGCAACTGCATTCTCCTAAGTGTCAGGAGAATCCAATAAAGTTTCATTGTCAGGAGGCAGATTACATCCCAAGAGATCCCTTGCATTCTAGCCCTGAAACATGCTCCAAATGAATAAACTACAGTATAATAAGTAAAATTGGGACAAATGGGTAAAGTCTTCTCTTTAAAGAGTCCTGGAGAACATCTGTTAGAAGACACAATGAAGAACATGCCTCAGAAATTACTTCATTAAATAAGTAACACAATGTGCCTTAATGATGTTCCACCTTAGACCAGGCGTTTCTGACCTCCAGGTCTTTAGCAGACAGGAAAACACTAGGATCTCATTCTCACAAAAGAGCCCTGAGGCAGTTCAACATAAAGGGCTGACTAAAGCCTGTAAAGAATCAAAAGGGATGTACTGGATCATATCTTTTCTCTCAATGTTATTCGTAACAAACAATGTCAACAAGGCCAGACTGGCAGACTAGCAGCAGCACCAGGAACAGGCTCTGACACGATTAGCCAATAAAAGTTCAACAAATAGACACTGTTCTAGAATTCCCTTTTCCTATTATGGGCTAAGAGTAGAAATGGGGGTAAAAGATGAGTGAGAAAAGTTGCGGTCCTGCTGAGCTGAGGTCCTAGATCAATTTCACCTACTGAACTGCTAGAAAAGCTGCCACTGGTTCAGCCCAGGGAGGGAGTCATGCTGGCAGGATTGAACAAACACCCATGGGCTGCTTGGCTGCCGAGGGCAAGACTCCCACAGTGTTGTCCTCTGTTGGAGGGGCTGCTTGGTGTAGAGCAGGAAGGGCATGTGCTTAGATGCAGCCAACTCTGAATTCAAATTTAGGCTCTGCCTCTTGGTAGCTACGTGACCCAGAACAAATTCTTTAACCTCTTTGAGCCTCGGTTCCTTCATCTATAAAATGGAGATACTACACTACCCACTTTGCAAGGTTACTATTCCTTTACCATAAAATAACCTATGTGATGTGTATTAGCAGGCACTTATAAAATGGCAGGGTAATTTCTTGCATGCTCCTCTTGTCCCCCAATCCTTTTGCTGTTCTATAGCTAGTGATCTTTCCAAAGAAGAAATCTGACCTTTGCAGTTCCCTACTTAAAACATTTCAATGGCTCTCCTAATAAAGAGCAAACTCCTCAGAGCCCATAAAGCCTTGTATGCCTTGGTTCTTGATGAGCTCTCTCTCTCCCCCTTGCTCTCCCATGTTCCTTCTTTGTGATCGCAGAGCAATGTAATCTTTCCCATTGTGAAGTCTTCACAGATGTTGAAAGCCTCTTCTTCCTTGATCTCATCTGCCTGGTTAACAACTTCTCATAGCTTCTTTGGGAAAATCTTTTCTCAACTTCCAGACTTGGGCGGGCATCTTGACAATGGTCCCTTTACCTCACTTTCACAGTACTCAGTCTAGTTCATAATTATACTTGTAACAATCTATACTATACTAGGTCTTAGACTAGCGGTCCCCAACCTTTTTGGCACCAGGAACCGGTTTCATGGAAGACAATTTTTCCACGGACTGGGGGAGGAGGGGATGGTTTGGGGATGACTCACGCACATTACATTTATTGTGCACTTTATTTTGATTATTATTACATTGTAATATATAATAATTACACAAACCTCTCTGCTAATTATAATCTGTATTTGTAGCTGCTCCCCAGTGCTAGCATCACTGCCTCAGCTCCACCTCAGATCATCAGGCATTAAATTCTCACAAGGAGTGAGCAACCTAGATCCCTCGCACGCACAGTTTATAGTAGGGTTCATGTTCCTATGAGAATCTAATGCTGCTGCTGATCTGACAGGAAGCGGAGCTCAGGTGGTGATGCTCAGGTGGGCGATGGGGAATGGCTATAAATACAAATGAAGCTTTGCTTCCTTGCCCACTGCTCACCTCCTGTTATGTGGTCTGGTTCCCTAACAGGCCACAGACCAGTACCAGTCTGCAGCCCGGGGGTTAGGGATTGCAGTCTTAGACAATAAAATCAAGCAGTAAGAACAGTGCCTTTTAAAAAATTACCATTGAATTCCCAGGGCTCAATACTTAGCACAATGCCTGGCCCATTTTAGTAGCTTAAATCTTTTATTGAATAAATGAATTAAAGTTCAGAGGAGGATTGGAAAGCACTAGCTTTAAATTTGGTTAGTAGTTATCTGCAACACTTTACCATGTTCTGAATAGCATGATGCTTATTTATATATTTTCCTTTCTTAACTGGATTTTCAGCTTTGTTGTATACAACTTCAAATGTCTACTGCTTCCATAGGACAGCAGGGTTCAAAGGAGACATTCCATGCTGCAGAATTGGTATGGAATGAAAGGAAGTATTAAGTGGCCTGAACAGGAACAGGGAAAAGGGTGAACTCTACCTTGAAGGTAGCCGTGGCATGAGATAAGGTTTCCTCCCCTAATCTTTCTTTCTTAGGGGCATTTAAATTGACCTCTTTGTTGGGAGGTAAGGATTCGACATGGTAACACTTACTTGTTCCCATGAAGAAATCATATGACGTTCAGCAGGCGCCTTTTCTAAGATGGTCACCTCTGTCACACCTGGGGAAGATTCTGGAGGAGGAAAAAGAGAGACTGAAGAGTTGCAATTGGTCCACTGTCAACCATTGCTACACTAGACATTGATTAACTGTTGATGACTGCTCTAGGAATATCCAATCCCTCTGATGAACATTTATTATACTCATGATGAAAGCAAAGAACTGGTTGGTCTCTCAAAGGCACCGAGTCCCATAACCTAGTACTATGTAATCTACCTGGTACAGAGGACATCAATAGAATGTGCTCTACACTCAATCATTGCTCATTTATCTTGTTGAACAAACAACAGAATGAATTCCACATTCCTAGTGATTTCACACTGAACTTCTTAGTGAGCTAAACTATATACTGATGGTGAAAAGGAATAAAGAATAGCACCTCAAAGACATAAAACTTGCTTGCTAAATTTACTTTTAAATAAAACTTATCCTGAACATTATCTTCTACTTTATGAGGTCCAGGATTTAAAAGCTAGGCTAATATGAAAAATGAATTCCATCCAGAAATATACTTAGAACAAAATAAGTCATATGTCTAAATCCTTGAAGCAGAGAAAGTTCTCCAAATAATCTGGTCTACCTCTCTTTGTGGAGCTGTGTTCTACCATTCACTCCGAGGTGAAAAAGAAGCCACCTTGGAATACAATAGATTTCAATACTTCCCCTCATATTCTCCACTTGTCTGTGGCCACACACACAGAATCGAGATTTTAAAGTCCTTAATCTATGACATAAAATTTGTCATAAAAGCTGTTATGGCTTGAATTCTGTCCCCTGTTAAAAAAGATACGTTGAAGTTCTAATCCCTAGTACCTCAGAATATGACCTTATTATTGCAGATATAATTAGTTTAGATGAGGTCATATCGAAGTAGACTCCTAGTCCAATGTGATTGTTGTTCTTAAAAAAAGAACACAATCTGAAGAGAAATGTACAGAAAGAACACAGCCACATGAAGATGGAAGATTGGAGTAATGCATCCGTAGACAAGAACACCAAAGACTGTGGGCAAACTACCAGGAAGAGGCAAGGCAGTATCCTTTCCCCCAAGTTTCAGAATGAGCATGGCTCTGCTGACCCCTTAATTTTAGACATTTGGCTTCCAGAACTGTGAGAGAATAAATTTCTGTTGTTCTATGCCCTGTGGTCCCCAACCCCCTGGTACCGGTCCGCGGCCTGGGAGGAACTGGGTTGCAGAGCTCCACTATTTCCCCAACCCCATCTGTGGAAAAACTGTCTTCCATGAAACTTAGGAACTGGGGAGGAGATACAGCAGAACTGGGGTAAACAGTAGGTGGGCAAAGCAGCCACTCCTCTCCCCATCGCTCACATCACAGCCTGAACTCCCCACCCACTCCCCAGTCCGTGGAAAAATTATCTTCCATGAAACTGGTTCCTCGTGCCAAAAAGGTTGGGGACCGCTGTTCTAGGCCAGTATGTGGTACCTTTTACAGCAGCCCAAGCAAACTAATACAAAGCCTATCCACCACTCTTTCTCTTCATGATAGTGTGTGGATTATTTCCACTGTCATCGCTCTGTTTTCACCACAATCACTGCAAGCCTCCATGAAATCACAGCCACAGACTAACTTTCCCTCCCCTAATCCATCCTCAGGGGACACTGCTAGAGGATCTTGCCCCTACCTAGGCTTGTTTCCTATCCAATCTTGTTCAGTTCTCCTTTTGGTCATAATGATAAGGGCCTTATAGATGTTTGGTTTTATCTTCTTCCACCTCATAGTCCATATATTCTGTTTCAGTAATGTCAGTTTCCTCATTGGCTCCATCCCTCTGGACCCCAAAACCCAACTCTGTACTCATATTCAATTATGCTAGATCCCTTTCTAGTATTATACTTAAATGTGTCCATGTTTCTGTTCATCTACCCAAGTCCTACTCACACTTTATTTAAGGCCATACTCAAGTTGCATCTCCTCCATGAAAGCCTTTCAGCACAGTGATCTCTGCTTTTCCTGATATCTCATCCCATTCTCATGTAGGGTCAGAGCCATACATGTTTATATTTAATTACATTTTATTTTGAACTATATCTTGGTTATTTACTATGAGGCCATGGCATACTATAAACAGAAACATTGTATTAAGTGTTTAAAATTTCTAGGAATATGGTAAGGGACTTCTAGTTTTATGTGGTTCACTGATTCTACAATTACACCGGTACCCTTTTTATGCATCATAAAGTTTCCTCCAATTTGTCAGAAAACTCAAACCTTAGGATGCACCAACAGCCCAATACAGGAACTAATCATTATGGACTCTATTCTAGTCTTGTTTCATGCACTGACTAGTTGTTGTGTGACTTTAGATGGGTCTTCACTTCCCTTCAATACTACTACTTCCCCTGATAGGGTAGGCAGAGGAAGCAGAAATGAAAGTGCTTTGGAAAAATGAAAAGTACCATATAGTTACATGATTTTTTTCTGCCTTCTATTCAATATTCTTTCTAAAATATTGGGAAGCATGGTGGAAAAACACTGTGAGCTTCAAGCCATTAAACCAGGGGTGAGTCTTTGCTATGTCCACGATTGGCTGAGGTGGAAGATGCCGTCTCTCCCTTCAAGAGTGGTCCCATTTGGCATCGTTCTACCCAAGCCAAGACAGTGGATAATAAATGTTATTATTTGCATTGTACAGATAAGGACATTGAGCCTGAGAGGTTAAGCCACAAAGCCAATTCTCTGATTCTAAGCATAGGTCTAGTTGAGAAAGAGCAAGCTTATGTGCAAAACTGGTGCATGCTCCTTGGCATAGCCCTTTAGTGATTATCCTATACAAATGCAAAGTCTATATTTAATCTTAGTAACCTACCACTCTACCTGCACTAGAACAGGAGAATAAGAATACAGAATTCTTTGCCAATAACCTGGCTGGTTGTATAATGATGTCATCTGACTACACTCACAGGGCAGTGATAGTGTCTAGGATTGCAAGAGGACACATACGATTATTTACTGTTTATAACAGGCCTATATGAAAGGGCTATAGGCTCAGTCAGAACTACTATGATGCCACTGCAGATGGAGTCATATCATACTTAAGCTTAAAATACTCTCACGATAGGCCAACTGGTCAACATTTGGATTTTAGTAACTTTCAGATAGTAAGGTGCTTACGAAATATCCATTGTAGAGACTTCTTTATCTAATATAGTACTTCAGCACTGGTGGGGAGGAGGTGTTGGGGATAAGAAATAGAAGGGCATGCAATAAATTCCATTTGTATAATGCTCTATTACGGGGAATTGGCATAAATTATCCTATTTAATCTTTCAACAATCTTGTAAAACAGGCATCATTACCCTCATTTTGGAGATAGGCAACAAGTTGGGCATAGTGGCTTATACGTATAATCCCGGCACTCTGGGAGGCCAAGGCAGGAGGATCGCTTGAGGTCAGGAGTTCGAGACCAGAATGAGCAAGAGTGAGACCCTGTCTCTACTAAAAATAGAAAACTTAGGCACAGTGGCATGCACTTGCAGTCCCAGCTACTCAGGAGGCTGAGGCAGGGGGATCACTTGAGCCCAGGAATTTGAAGTTGCAGTGAGCTATAATGACACCACTGCATTCTAGCCCAGGTGACAGGGCAAGATTTTGTCCAGAAAGAAGAAAGAAAAGGAAAGAAAGAAAGAGACTGGTTGGAAAATGATGGAGTAGGTGACCTCCTGGCTCTCTGCTCCCAGAGGGAGGGAAGGAAGGAAGGAGCAAAGGAGGGAAGCAAGAAAAGAAGGAAGAAAGGAAGGAAGGAGGGAAGAGAGGGAGGAAGTGAGGGGGGAAGGGAAGAAAGAAAAGAAGGAAGAAAAAAAAGAAGAAAAAAGAGACAAGACAAGATGAGACGGAAAATGGCAGAGTAGAGGTGACCTCTTGGCTCTCTGCTCCCAGAGAAAGAGGTGAAGAACTTGGATGGCTACATACAAGTGGATTGCTCCCCTGCAAGAATAGCACTGTAAAACTGCAGAGAAACAGCATGGGACACGCAATGCAGGGAAAAAAAGATGAATGGGAGGTATGATCGCAAAGTCTGGAGAGTGCAAGATAAACAATAGAGAGTAGGGCGTGGAACGGCCACACCTGCCCAGCCAGCGACTGCAGTGGGATCTGACCCACAGGAGGAGCTGGGCTCCTCCACTGACCTCCACACCCACTCAGACAGGGATGTGCCTGAAGTTGGTGCAAAATCGCCGCACAAGACATTGGGCTCTGTGGAGAGGGGACAATAGTGGGAAACATCTTGAACTCCCCAGTGCTCTGTGCTAGGAGTGAACTGGGCGGGGGAGGGACTTGTCTGAGTGATCACTTCCTGCGACCACTGGAGGGAGTTTGGAGACAGGCATCTAGCCTCTGGTGGTCGGTGGAGCCAGAACAAAGGAGGTGAACACTGAAAAGAGGGCTCTACCCCTGCAAATTGTCATTAGGCCGGCTCGGGGTGGGACAGAAAGAGCAAGACCTTCTGCCCGACAGGTGCGAGATTGCAGGACTGTGACCCATAAGAGACAGCAGCTGTCTTGTTGATTCAGCCCGCTGAACTGGCATCTGCCAATTCCTTAGCAGTCTCCCCTAGTGCTAGCTCTCTGCAGGTGGGCGGCCACCATTTTTGGGGTCCACAACTTGGACAGTGCAGTGTGCTATGGTTTCGGGCAGCACCCCTCTCCCAGCCCAGGGACTCTTGCACTGGGTGCAGCTGGCTCTGCCCTTCCACATCCTGTTGATTCGGCAAGCTAGGCGCGGCCTGTGTCGGTGGGCGAATCTTGAGTGCTTCCCCACAACACTAGTTCTCCAGCAGTGAGAGGCCACCACCTGTGGGATCCCCAGATGCTGGGCATCACCCCTCCCTAGCCCAGCGACTTTCGCACTGGGCTTGGAGTGCTCCGCCCCTGGAGGTTGGGAAAAGCAAGAGCCGCTTTCCTTGTGCGACTGGCATTTGAATCTGCAGGGCCTTGGTGCAGATCAATAACTGACAGCTCATTGATTTGGCCTGGCTCAGGTCATCTAATAA